TTAAAGTCGACATGTCGAGTTTAATCTCGTCATGGCAAAAATATTTTTTCTTTTCATGTGTGGCCCTAATACTCCGTCGTAGATTCCCATTCCTCTAGTGACTAATCTATTTGTAAGTCTTCCTTTCATGCTTTTAATTTTAAAACAGAATTGTTTGAGGACTTTGATAACAGAAATTTATAGATTTCCCTTTTTAGGACATCCGATCCTAGCATGTCCTCTAGTGTTGGTTGGTTTTGATAAATTTTTTTTTTTTTTTTTTTTGCTACCACATAATTTCTAAGCTGCTGATTTTTCAACAAATATTTCCTGTGGATATTTTATTTGCTTCCAAGTAAGTCATATCTTCCTTCAGTCCGTTGATAGCCCACTGTTTTGAATACTGCATCAGCTCTCCCAGGACTGGAATCCTGATTTGTTTTTTAACTATTAGATTTCTTTTTTTTTTTTTTTTCTCAATCAAATGAACTTCTGTATCTTAGAAAAGGTACAAGGTGTTTGAAAAATCCCCTTCCATTTCTGTCCATTGGGGGGCGTCCTTTAAACTGAAGTAATACCTTACAGATCTAAGCAGAGCAGCCAAATAATACCATACTATATTTGGGCACATTAGGTCTCCTTCATTGTTAGGTAAATTATTTAAGGAAAGTTTTATTCTAGCATCTTTTTGACCCACAAGAAATTCAGAAGCATTTTGTTTTACTTTTTAAACCAGTCTGCAGGATTGGTAAATAATCTGAAAAACATGTTTTAGTTTTGGAAGTATCATCATTTTTTTAAATATTAATTCAACCTAACAGGGACATTGGAAGGTTCATCCATCTCTTAAAATGATCAATTATTTCATTAGTTATGGAATCATATTTGAATTTAACAAGTGAATCTAAATTTGGAAGAATTTGTATTCCTAAATAATTAAACTTTGAGACTGATTTAAATGGTGAAATGACTGCAGGCAAATAATCTCTCTCTCCTTTTCGTCCAGCATTTTATTTTGTTGATTTCATAACCTGAAATTAGATCAAACTCACCAGTCGAGTTTATCAAAGCAGAGATAGATGAATTGAGACCTGAAAGAAACATAATTTTATCCTCTGCATATACGAAAGCCTATGTTCTGTCTAACCTATTGAAATTCCAGCTATATGAGAGTGTTTAAAAGAAAGTAAATTGTAAGGGGAATTTGAGCCATTTATTTTTTACAAAAGTCTAATAACCCTAAGTCTCTGATAAATATGGACATGTTAGAATTTGCTCTAAACATCCATGATTAAATGTTATGACATTTCAAAACTGGTAAAGACTAGATTATACATTGGAGATAAGTACTTTATTTTTACCATGATAGGAGAATCTAGTATCTAGTATACTCTGTATTGGCACAAGCGTTTGTCAATCCAAATAATTAAATTGAGATATTTCAATTGCTTCCCTGGGTGCAGCATTCAGGCATGCAGAGGCTTTATGGAAATGTTTTTGAAGGAAATGGTCGCTCTCAGGAGCTCAGTGAATACATGTTTTGTACTATTACTGGATGACACTGTGTCCAGTCATGTACATTTTTCTTTTAAAAATAAAAAGCTATGCAGTGACAGCTGTTAGTGGTTTATAAAAAACTGGAAGTGATTTGAAATGATTGCAACTCAGACTTAAAGGAAGAGGCAGCCTAAAACCAAAGAGAAAGCCCAGCAGATGCTGAGATTCCTGCCACACTGAGGTCATGAACTTTCTGTTGAGCCTTTTGCAACAGTCCTCCAAACTTCACGTGGCCTTTAGATTAGCTCAAGAATACATGCACGGAGAGCTTCAGGCAATGAGTCTCCATGGCAAAGCAGCTGCATCCAAGCATTACATCACCGTGTGCCATTGAAAGTGTCCGATGCAGCAGGCCAACACTGGACGTCAGCTTAGTTGGTCAATATTATAATCAACCATATTACTTAAGCATGAAATGTCACTAATAGCAAATACTATTGGCAATAAAGTGTATTTTAAAAGGTGGTATATGTATATTTCAGGGATTTTTTTCACAAACTGTGGAAATATGTTTGCCACCAGTGGTATCATAACTAGAAATCTAGTTTATTCACATACGAATATACATCTGAGAACAAACTAAAATATGAACTGGTGTGACTCTGAGCTGTTGAAGGCCAACAAGTTTAAAAAAGATTTTTCAAAAATTCATCATTAATGACCAGCTCTATGTAAAAGTGCATAAATAAATCCAGCTGAAATGGTTGAAGAAACAGAGTTACTTGCTCCTTAAATACACCTAAGGCATCACTTTATATCACATACTTGATTCTTAGATTGATATCCTTAGACCCCAACCGTTCTCTGATCATCCAACCCTACTCTCTTTCGTTCTGCTCCAACTGGTTCGTGTTAGCAGCAGAACCTTGGATTTCACATTGTTACAGGGGGAGCTGGATGCCCTGTGGTCTCCACTCCACAGCATGCCCTCTCTGCACCAGCTGGGCAGGTCAATGAGCAGGTCAGTGGTAGGTATGTCAGCCTCTCCTCAGGGGTGCAGTGCAAAACACTTGGGTTTAATGAATTTTGGTCCATGACTTTGCGCTGCTCCCCTCAGAAAAGACTGCAGAATAAAAACTCCAAATGCAAAAATCATTTCGTGCTTCCAATAGCTGCTGGAATATTGTTAGCTTGTTAGTTCCATCTGCTTTAAAACTAAACATAGCGTCATTTGTGTCTAGAAAAATAAAAGAATCAAAAATGTTTGTGTTGTTACATCACACCATGAAACTTTACAGCCATATTATTCTCATAATGAATGAACACAAAGTATATAAACTTTATAAAGAATTTTTGATTACTTTCATCTTGTCGTTTGTGTACATTATTTGTTTGACATTGCTGAAACTGCATGCTCAAATTCTGCAATGGGTGACCCAAAAACAATGAAATTGAAATAGAGACTATTTAGAGTTTATGGATACATGTAAATTATACGTGAAAATGACAGAAGAGTTTTAAAAGACACACATCTCCTCTTTATCTCTTTTTCAATTCCTCGTTTGCTGCTCAGTCATTTTAGGCATAAACTGATGTTTCCCAGCTGCTTCTCAGGTCATAATGAAAACATCAGCTTGTCGGTCTGTTTAACTTCCTATGCTTTGGACATCTAACATGAAAAAAATATATATATCATGTCATATTCTATTTTCCCAGCTGTCTTCCGTCTCTCAGAGAGCTTTCTAGTAATCGCAGCCTTGACAACCTGGACTGCATTGGAGGACCAGGGGCTTTGGCACCATGGGATGAAGATGGCTTCAGTCAGGCTTGCAGCACCCTGGGCAGACGTAGTTGCATGGGACAGGTAAGAGATTTAGTTTTTTGTTTAATCTGTAAAAATAAAAATAAGTTATTTTAGCTTAAATAATAATATAACCCCCTAATATCAGCAGATTTTTTTTTATGTTATAATTTCATTTCTTATATAAGTATTGCATTCCCTGGCAGAATATTTTTTTGCACTAGAACCCCAAATGTCTGATAAAGATGGACTGAAGTAGTAAACAGGCACAATGGAAGCAACCCAGCAACTAGGTGATGACTCAACAGCTGGTGTTAGGCTGAACAATCAGGTAGCAGGGTCTAGGTTGAAGCAGTCAGATAATGGGTTAGGCTAGAAGGAGGCTTTGAGCAGGTAGATGACAGGGGCAGACTTGAATAAGGCTTTGAGCAGGTAGATGATGGGGCAGGCTTGAACAAGGCTTTGAGCAGGTAGGTGATGGGGGAAGGCTGGAACAAGGCTTTGAGCAGGTAGATGATGGGGAAGGCTGGAACAAGGCTTTGAGCAGGTAGGTGATGGGGGAAGGCTGGAGCAAGGCTTTGAGCAGGTAGATGATGGGGGAAGGCTGGAACAAGGCTTTGAGCAGGTAGATGATGGGGCAGGCTGGAACATGGCTTTGAGCAGGTATCTGATGGGGCTGGAAGATGGTTTTGAACAGATGGAAGACGGCTGATGGCAAGCTTTGACCAGACTGGAGGCAGGTTGAACAAACTGTTGACAGAAAAAAGCAGTCCAGGATGTGAACAGAGTCAGAAGCCAGTGAGAATCCAGCAAGGGTAGGCAGAACAAAGGAAGGAAGGCAGTGCACACAATCACTGGACTTGTCCTTATAAAGGCGAAGGAGAGACAATCTGGCCAAGACTGAGAGAGGGAGATATTCATGGATATGATAAAGGCCGTGCAGAATGATGATCATTAGAAGAGTGGTAGGTAAATCTGCTCACTAATTAATATACCGGAACAGAACAAAGTGTGGTTAATAACCAGCTGGCCTAAAAACAATCAAACAGGTAGGATTCATGATCACTTACACGAAAACTCAATGAAACAGTTTACTGTTTCAGAGGTTTCTGTTACAAGTCTGTTAAAAGTCTATTACAAGTCATTCTAAATGCCTTTCTGCTTGTGCATAAAACAGCGGTTTTTGTTTCAAGTCTCATTTTTGTTGTTTCCATTTAAATCACTGATATAATGAGATTCCTCTGAACAAAGCATTCCCTGTTCACTGCTGTCTTGTATTAATGTAATTATGTCAAAAGACAAACGAGGGGACAATGAGCTATAGGTCTAATTTGTCCACTATCAGAGAAGACATTAGTTTGTCAAAGAGAAGGTCAATCAGATGAGGATCGGCTGTGCAATCTATTTCTAATTACCTCATTTTTTTCTCCACTTACTTTTGAGTTGCATGGTTTACAGTAGATTTAACGGTTAGAACTTACTAGGTGAAAAGTTAGTTTAAAGTAAAAGAACAAATCAAAAGAATTGCTGTTGTCAAGCCTTATTTATGCCGCTTCACAGGCATCTACTAAAAATCTGTATTAGGTTAAATAGTCCAATGTCTGCAATTTCTCTGTCCAGTTGCGGGACTTGGAAAAAAGTCATCATTATGAAGACAGAAGCTCAGAGCCTACCTTCAGAGATTCCCGTCCGCAGGACATTTCGGAGCCTCCAGACATGCCCATGCCAACATGCTTCCGCTCCCGCAGCCACAGCTACCTTAGAGCTATCCAGGCTGGCTGTTCCCAAGATGACGACACCGCTTCCATAGACTCAGGCTGCTCTCCACCTCCGACTGACTCCTCCGTTCGCACGTATGGCACTGGCACTGGTAAGTGACTTTAAACTAAGCATAAAATATAGAAAACAGAGGTTCTGATATGGTCTATTGTAATAAAAACCTCTTAAATTACAAACCTGCTTGTTGTACTGTCCCACCCCACCCTCCTCCTTTATTACAAACACTTGGCCCAAATTCTTGCTGTCGTTTGTAATTTACTTTACATCTTTCCAATACTTTGCCCTTAAAGAGACAGTTTTCATCCAACTTTCCCTAAAGTATATTTAGTATATTTAGCTTAAATGCAGCTTTTGTACCCACACTAGACGACCTTTCTTCACAATGGAAGACATGGAAAGAACAGTTTTCATCTTACCTGATAGCCACTGGCTTGGATAGAGCTCCAAAGGAGAAACAACTTGCAATTTTTCTTCAGCGCTTTGGGACAGACAGACCACGCATCCTACCCCCACACACAGGTAACAACTCTAAACCTCTTCCCCTGAAAACATCCAGTCAGATAAAGTCTCATGGACTTCTAAATTATATTTAAAACAATAAAGTTAATTTGGACATCATCCTAAAGCATTGGTTCTTTCTTTATAAAAATAGCCACCCTAGTGAAAACATGTGTTCCCTAATAATACTGTAGCATTGACAGACATTTTTAAACAGGACTTTTTTGCATGAACTTAAAAAGAAATAAAAACTCCAAGCAGAAAGTTGCAGGTTTCACACAAACCATAACCTCCAACCCCCACTATGGGGGCTGCATGTTTAAAACTAAATGTTTTCTTTTATTTCTAATGGTATGTATATTATGGACTATATGGTAGCACAGTTTGTGGTACCTTTGCAGTACAAGAAGGCCCTAGGTTTAGATCCTGTTTGTTGGTCTTTCTACACGCTGTTTGTATGTTCTTTCTCTGTGCCTGTGCTGGTTCTCTCCAGGTACTAAGGCTTACCATTAAGTTGATTGGTGACTTTAAATTTCCTTAATGTTGGTGTGTTTCCGAGTTGCCCTGCAATGGACTTGACTTTTGCCTATAGTTTGCTGAGATAAGCGGGAAATGACCCTGACAGACATCCTTGGAAGATGGATGAATGGGTGATTTGTATATTGTACAACCTTTGTTATTCAGGTTTATGCTTAAGTGTTTAAATGCTAAGATATGAGGGGCGTTCAATAAGTAATGCCCCTGACCCACTTCCAGATGTTTGATAGAGCTGA